GGATGGGGTAAGGGTACCCCAGATATAAGAAGTTACCCTGGGTTGAACAGCTCGAAGTTGCCACCTGGTGGGCAACAAATGAGCAAGGAGCAAACCCACTTCAGGCTATGTCACACAGCTCTGGCAATCACCCTGGCAATCACCCTCTCCAGCCTGTTTTTCCTTAGGCAGTGAGGGTTTGGCTTATGAGCATGTGGGTCTGTGTGACACTGTCGGCCACATCTGACATAGGAACAGAGCTCTTGGAGAAGGCTATTTGCAGTGCCTGCTTTCACTTAGCAAGGAGAGTATTCCCAGGCTGAATGTGAAGCACGCAGCTGGGCTGAGAAAAGGGATTCTCCTTGCAACGCTAAGGACTGAGAAGCTGCAGCCTGAACCAAACTATTATCAGGCACAAGTGAAACTCCTGAGGGAGAAGGGCAATGGGAATGCTTCTACCGTGGGAAAAGCTTCGTTCACAGATCACACTTCACTGGGCGTTGAGAGCGCTCAACCGGGAGTCACAAATGCAATGGGAGGCAAGCTTTATTAGTTTCGCTGCTCAGTGAACTAGTTCTTTTCCTTGGCTTCATAACAAACTGCAGTCACAGTCATATGCCATTGTAGATGTTCAGGCACAGGAAACTTGAAAAAGAGACCTTGCTTTTTGTGCAAGAGGAAAAACGTCCTGTGTCAGAGCATAGTGTTTGGAGGAGCACCCCTCCCAAGTGGGAGCCAATGTGTGTGTTCTCATTTTTTTGCTAGAACTGCTGGCACTGGAAAAAGAGAGTCATATGTCCTGAAGAGCACACTAAGCTGGGGAGGCTGTAAAGGAAAATAACTTATGTAATTTATCTGGGATTTTCCAAAAACTTTTGACTAAGTCCCTCAAAAGGCAATGTTAAAGAAATGTCATTAAAATAGCAACAAATAACGTTCTCTCAGGGACTATGAACTGCTGAGGGTCAACAGAAGTAGAACAGGAATAAATGGCCAGCCTTCAGCATCCAAAGATCTAGCAGGTGGGATATCTCCATCTTAGTGCCAGTGTTGCTGTAAATAGATATATAGAAATAAAGTTTATGGAAGAAAAGATGAGTAATGAAGCGGCAAAATTTGCAGCTGATTATTTGCAGCTTATTTGGATTGGACAAGACTATCCTAAGGTTAAGGTACTTCACTTAGAGCTACAGTATTGTAGCAGAGGATGAAATTCACTGAAAACATAGAATAACATGCACAAAAAGAGACATTGAAAACTGTCTGTGTTACTGGATTGTAGAACAACAAGAACATGGGAAGTGTCAGACCGCAACAGACTGAGTCATACAATCCATTAAGTGTTGCTAATGGGAGAGGTGAGACCTGCACAAACCATTGCTTTGCAAACCTCTCCTCTGCCAGAGAGGTCGTATCTATGCTACAGCTAAGGGCAAATGCGGGCCCACGGAGTACGCTCGTTGCTAATGTGAGCTTTATAAAGATACTTTTCTTATCTAAATCACATATGGGAGGCAACTGCCTTTTTTATTCAGTTACATACTACCGCTTTTCATTCTGGTCTCTGGAAACTAGACATTTGTTTGACCTGGAAGCACAAGTTTCCTATGTTGTAACTATCAATACAAAAAATTCAGGGTTTTTTAGATTTTTTTTATTACAGTATTGGCTTCAATAACTTTCTTTAGCATTTTGCCCTATAGTTTTATTAAGGATTGCTTAATGAGTTTTGAATTTCTTCCCTTTTAACAAAAGAATAGTCAATGAAATAATGAGAACAGAAGCACCTGGTGTATCTTTCCTGAACCACTTATTAAATACAAACTTTTATCATGTTTTGGCCAGTTATCGCTTCTCTAAGTAACAATTTTATTGCTATCAGTGTTTAATCAACACAAATTTTTGCAGGCTCCTTCTCATTCTCTCATTCAGCAACACAATTTTTAAGTCAAGACAGTTATTGCTACACATAGCAGACAGAAGACCACGACATTGGCATCTGTAATCAGTGTATAAGTCACTGTAACGTTTCTTTCAGAATTCAGATGTTGCCTGTTGGTGGACTGAAGGGTATGTAGTAATGTCCCTGTACCCTTTTGGGCTCCATACAGTTCTTTTAGACACCTGAAAGGTCTGTTCTAGCTCCCTTTTTGTTCCCACTGAGCAGTACTATGCACATATCCTCTGTGAGTTTCTCTGTCATCCTGTTTTCCCACTCCTCTCTCTTATTTAAATCTGATAGGATAGGACTGGTGAGGAAAGCCTAACTGGTAAATATCCCCATTTCCTTAGCAAATGTTACAGGATAACGTGTTGCTTCTTGGCCTATGACTATTTCTTCTCCCTCTTGTTAGTGGAGGGAACTGGTTCATACTGCATCCCCACAGCTGGCTACACTGAAGAAAGCAAGCAGTTATTCAGATATGTAGCATCACGGAACAAATGAGGGCAACAAAGAGAAAGCATTAATGCTGATAGGAAAAAAAATCCAGAGGTGATAAAATAAATGAAAGGATTGTGTATAATTCAGTCAGGAGACTGGCTGGATCAGTAAGGTACAACTCAAGTATTTGGTGTACTAATGCAAGGACCTGTGCAAAAATGTGGAAGAACGGGAACTACTGCTGCAAAACATGAAGCGGGATATTATAGGAGTAATAAACATGGTGCAAAAACATTCATGACTGGAACAAAGTCTCAAAGGCCACAAGTTGCTTAAGGTAGTAATAACAGCAGAGGGAGCGGGCTGCATGTGTGAATGGAGTGCTGAACAAAACAAAGTATGTTTAGCCAGTAGCTTTTTGAGGAAGCGGGGTAAAAAAGGGTAGAGCTCATCGTTTGCTATATCTCTCCTCTTAACCCATGCACATGGTGGTACGTGGCCCTGTAACAGAGCTTATGGTCTTTTAAGGATGCAGAAGAGCAGCTGACCCCCTGTGTTAAGATAAATAGACACAGGTGAGGGGACTGCTTTCTGACTGGGAGACTTCTAAATGTTCCCAGATGAAGGAAAAATGTAGTGACAGTCTTTGCCTCGGGAGGCCTTGGCTTTTCTTTTTTATTATTTCAGAAAATAAGGTGGTTTACAAAACTGCTAGCTGCACAGCTGGAGCTCCTGCCTTAGCAATCGGGGGTGGCTTGACTTGGGATGGTGGTCTCTAAAGCATCGTCAGAGAGAAACTGCCAATATGGTCGCTAGAAGAGATCTTGATTTCAGATCAGGAAATCAGACTTGTTGCTGGAAAACTCTACTCTAAAAGCCCTTACTAATATTAAGTCTAGTTGTTACTGTGTATGGCAGCTAAAGGGTGTTCTCCAGCTTGTGCTTGAACCAATGTCATACGCCACCTTCTAGATACTGTTTTGGCAAGTGAAAAGGACTTTACTAAAAAGATGGTTGCCTAGAGCAATTAGGACCGAGCGGCTGAGAACTGCTTTTGTTCGGCTTTAAAAGAATCAAATTTCCAACGTACGTAGCTTATTCTAACAGTATATTATACAGTTTATTATTACATGCAGCCATATAATGTAAATACAAACAAGGGAGGAAAAGAAGGCTAGGTGTTGTTTAACAATAACCTAAATCTTAAAAGTGTTTTTTTTCCCCCAGCACTGGGCAGCATGCTCCTCTGTTGCTTATGCCCTGAAGTATATATACTGTTAAGTATAGCAACATCAGTAGCCCCCTGGGACAGCAGAAGCCGCTTTCCAGCTGGAGAAAGGAAAATCAAATTCTTGCCTACTAGATTTACCACAATAATTCCCCATGGTTAACATAACTGCTTATTAGGCTCATCAATTTTTTTTTTTAAATGGTAATAAGTCACCACTAAGGTGGCTGCAGCTGAAAGAAAATTAGGTGTTTCATTTTCTCTTGGGATTTGTCAGTGGGTAGTCAGAGCCCTTTATCAAACCCCATCATTTCCTGTCACGTTGTTTAGCCTCTTCGAGAAAAACGCTCCCAAAGCTCAGTAAAACGGGACTGTAAAAGCACAGGGACTGCTCGGGGCTGAGCTATGACACAACACCTATAACCCTTCCTGCGGGTTATATATACTTTTATATATATAAAAAATAAAAAGTGGAGTTTAGGACGAGTCATCTGAGGAATGTCTTATTTACATGAGAGAAAGTTCATCAGCC